GGTCAGCCCTGGGCAGCGGGAGCCGCCGGTCAGCCCTGGGCAGCGCGAGCCTGCTGGTCAGCCCTGGGCAGCGCGAGCCTGCCGGTCAGCCCTGGGCAGTGCGAGCCTGCTGGTCAGCCCTGGGCAGTGCGAGCCTGCTGGTCAGCCCTGGGCAGCGGGAGCCGCCGGTCAGCCCTGGGCAGTGCGAGCCTGCCGGTCAGCCCTGGGCAGTGCGAGCCTGCTGGTCAGCCCTGGGCAGCGCAAGCCCACTGGGGAAGCCCACTGGCTGGTGTTGAGAGTGCTCACATCCCATTATCTTCTCATAGAAGGAAGGAGACCTCAGGCGTGAAAGGTGGCGCCTGGCCGCTGGGGTGGGCCTTCCAGAGATGGCGGGCTGCTGGGCCTGGGCTCCCGAGGGCTCCGGCCTCTGCCTGCACCCACCCGCCACCGCGGGCCCTGCCTCCCCGATGGCTCCTGACCCCACCCCACAGCCGCGTGGGACGGGGGAGGGGCAGCACCCACGGAGGTCCAGGCTCAGAGCCCGCGGGGCCTCCCGTCCTTAGACCGACCGGCAGTGGCCGCGCCTGTCTCTGGTGGGGATGCGGGAGGGCTCACCTCTTCCACGCCCAGCCGCAGCCCGATCTGCTGCTGCAGCAGCTGCTTGGCCTTCACCCAGGTGGCGATGAGCTGCTGCCGCATGTTGATGGGGACCACCTCCTCGGGCATGCTGCCGTTGGTCAGGGTCAGCCCAAACTCGCAGACCTGCGCGGCAGGACCCACGCCCGTCCTCAAGCTCTGGAGGGCTCGTGGACTCAGCGCCAGCACCCCGGCGTGGGTGCAGGTCAGAGACACCCCAAGCTCCAGCTGAGGGGCTGAGCAGGGTCTCTCAGCTCACATGCAGTGCAGATGGGGCAGAGCCTGAGCCTTGTGTGTGCTGACAGCGACAGGGTGCGGGCGGAGCCCCCAAAGCCAGGCCCCAGAACCTGATCACTTGCTGGGAGGACAGGATTCTCAGCACTGTGCCTCAGCACCCCTTACAGAACTCGGCCCAGTGCACTGCCACCAGCATGCAGAGTGACCACGTGAACCTCCCAGCTGGCGTGAGTCCGCAGGACAGAACCCTCCCCCCTGTCCCTCCACCGTCTGGGACAAACCTCCACTGGAGAGACAAGGGGTCACGTGGGGTCCCAAGATTCATAGCCTAGGCCCAGCCATCGTTTGTCTCACTGTGTCCAAGTCCTATGCCACCACCAGTACCCCCAAGGCCCCGGAACCTGTACCCCTCCCTGGCCTGTCCCCCCAGACCCCAAGGCCCTGGAACCTGTACCCCTCCCTGGCCTGTCCCCCCAGACCCCAAGGCCCTGGAACCTGCACCCCTCCCTGGCCTGTCCCCCCAGACCCCAAGGCCTTGGAACCTGTGCCCCTCCCTGGCCTGTCCCCCCAGACCCCAAGGCCCCAGAACCTGCGCCCCTCCCTGGCCTGTCCCCCCAGACCCCTATGCCCCGGAACCTGCACCCCTCCCTGGCCTGTCCCCCCAGACCCCAAGGCCCCGGAACCTGCACCCCTCCCTGGCCTGTCCCCCCAGACCCCAAGGCCCTGGAACCTGTACCCCTCCCTGGCCTGTCCCCCTAGACCCCAAGGCCCCAGAACCTGCACCCCTCCCTGGCCTGTCCCCCTGCCCATAGGCCCTGGGACTGCACCTCCAAGGCCTCTTTGATCTCAGAGGAGTCGGATGGAGTGTGAATCATAACTGGCCGCATCCCCTTCTTCAACTTTTCGGGCGTCTGGGTGGGAATCCAGCTGATGATGAGTCCCCGAGCCAGGGTGTTGCAGAGCATGGTTAACATGACAGGGTCCCTGGAAGAGAGGCCTCCTGAGCACCACAGCCCTGCCTGCAGCATGCCGGGGCGGCGTGCCGGGCGGGCCGAGGAGGGCCGAGGAAGGCCGGGGCGTGCCGGGGCAGGCCGGGGCGGGCCGGGGCGGGCTGCACCAGTTACCCCTGGCAGCATCCCTTCTACCACGGTGAGCACTTACTGCACTCCTGTTTGTGTTTTTGTGTTTTAAGAAGGAACCGTGCTCCATAGCTCGGGATCCCTTCACACGTCCACCCTCCACCTCCTAGCTTCTGGCCCACAGTACCGAGCAGCACACCCACCCCGGCTCCCCACTTCAGCGTCTGAAGTCCCATTGTCCAGACTGGAAACCAGACACATGAGAATTCCATTTTGATAAGCTTTGGTTCAGCTGGTGCAGACAGATCCCTCATTATAGTTGCGCAGCCCCAGTCCCAAGAGGGTTCAGATCATCCCTGCCCCACCCTCCAAAACGCAGGATGGGAAGGTGGCGTCTTCTCTCTCCTGCTCTTTGCGATGTGGCAGGCCTTACTGAACTCCCCGGGAGCAGCAGGGGGCCGGTGTCTGCACCGCAGTGGGCACGGACACCCTGACCCCTGCATGCAAAAGAACATGGCACCAGCACCCACCCACTGTGCCCGGTGACCTTGACCGCCCGCAGGAGGTGGGACAGGGCTTCCACCAGCTCCTTCTGCCTCCTAGCTGTGATGAGATGGTGGTTGTGGTTCAGGATATAGACAGCGGCGTTCTGCACAATCCAGGCCTCCCCGATCTCCTGCCCGATGTCCGCAGAGCGCAGCCAGCTATTCATGGCATACTGGGACAGGTTTTCTATCCAGGTTCTGCAAACACACCACCACAAAGGCTCAGCTTGACGCCAAGCCTTTCCCAGAGATGCCATGACTTCCTGGAGGCCATCCCTCCAAGGTGTGCACCTGCAGTCCAGGGCACAGACGATGCCCGGGGAGGTCCCCAGTGCACCCGGCCACATGTGTGCGGCTCTGAGCGGGCCACTGCCACAGGGCCTTCTGCACTTCCTCCCCCGTGGCCTTCTGCACTTCCTCCCCGTGGCCTTCTGCACTTCCTCCCTGTGGTGGTCTCTGCACTTCCTCCCTGTGGTGGTCTCTGCACTTCCTCCCTGTGGTGGTCTCTGCACTTCCTCCCTGTGGTGTCTCTGCACTTCCTCCCTGTGATGGTCTCTGCACTTCCTCCCTGTGATGGTCTCTGCACTTCCTCCCTGTGATGGTCTCTGCACTTCCTCCCTGTGTTCTCTGCACTTCCTCCCTGTGTTCTCTGCACTTCCTCCCTGTGGTCTCTGCACTTCCTCCCTGTGGTGGTCTCTGCACTTCCTCCCTGTGGCAGATCCGCCTTCTATGGAGCTCTTCCTGGTCTCTCGGCTCCTCCCCTGGCCTGAGCTCTTGGCCCTTCACTCACTGTTTTGGACAGCGCCCAGCCTGGGGTCCTTGCTGGGCTATCCTTGTCCACCCTGCATCCCCCTCCCCCTGTGAGCTACCTGCCACCGTCTACCTCGCACGCAGGCAGCAGGGCACACTCAGGGCGGGGTCTTCGAGGTCACCCAGCGTTTGCACCTGTGGGGACAGTCTCTGCCCTGCTGGCCTAGGCTGGGCAATCTTTTCTGTCAAGGGTCAGATACTAAGAGTTTTAGACCTCGTGAGCCATTAGAGGTCTGTTGCATGATTTTTTTTCCTGCTTTTTAAAATAATGTTTGAATTGTCAAAGCCAGCCTTATCTTGAGGGAAGAAACACATGAAAACAGGCAAGGCCTCGTGATGGAGGCAGACGGCCAGGCGCGAGCCTGACCTGTACGCGATCCATTCTGGGTTGGTGTCTGGGGGCTCCGGCACGTAGCCAGCTGGGTGCTGGCTGGTGTCCTCAGGGGGAATGGCCCGGTTATTCAGCTCCACACCTTCTGAACGCAGCAAGTGGACCGTGGCCTGCAGGAAATGGGCAGCAGGAGATGGGACCTACCCTTACAGTTTACTATGGAAAAGCCAAAGACAAGGAAGAGACCTGCATGATGAGCCCCAACCCCATGCTGAGATAAACCCCTCCTGCACCCCATGACCTGTCCCTTCACCCCCAACCCCTCCCCCCATGACCTGTCCCTTCACCCCAACCCCTCCCCCCATGACCTGTCCCTTCACCCCCAACCCCTCCCCCCATGACCTGTCCCTTCACCCCAACCCCTCCTGCACCCCATGACCTGTCCCTTCACCCCAACCCCTCCCCCATGACCTCTCAGTTCACTTCAAAGCTACGTGTCTCAGGGAAGCATGCCTCTCAGGCCTCTGGCCCTCCTCCTCTCCTTCCCGGTTGTCAGTGGCCCACTACTGGCTGCGCTGTTCCGAGGTGGCCGGCCTGCCCGGGGTGGGCGGCCCCTGTCGGGGCCCCCTGTGCTCACAGACAGCTGTCTCCCTCAGGCTCTTTTGCATCGGCTCCAACCCTGAGTCCTAGCACCCAGGGGTGGGCTGGCTGTGCCTGTCCCCAGGGACGTCCACTGGGTGAGACCACCTTGGCTGGCCCAGGGCTCCAAGAATCCTGACATTTCAGAGGTCTCCCAGGTCCATCCGGTGCGGGCTCAGGGGAGAGCTGAAGGCTCCCCGCAGGAGTCACCACTCGCTACAACTTCATCCTCCAGGAGAGGTGACATACCCTGTCCTACCTATGTGGCCTTGGCTTAGGGTTCAAAATCCTTTCTTGTTCTTTCTGCCAATATTGAGACTTGAACTCAAGGGCTCACACTCTTGTTGAGGTTTTTCCACTCATAGCTAGCATTCTACGATGTGAACCGTGCCTCCAATTGCATTTCTGTTGGTTAGTTGGAGCTAAAAGTCTTAATACCTTGTCTGCCTCATCTGACTCTGAACTGAGTCCCAGATCGCGGCCTCATTGGTAGCTGGGACTATAGATGCAACCCACTTGTGCCCAGCACAGAAATTATTTCTAACAAAAATTTTTACATCAATTCCAAGTGTATCAGAGACTCAATGTCACACCCCAAACTGAAACTACTGCAAGAGAGAGTAGAACTTACACATATAGATAGAAACTTCCTGAATAGAGCCCTGGGGACACAACAGATAGGAGAGACTCGACAAGTGGGACTACATCAAAACAGTTTCTGCACAACTAAGGATATAGTTACTAAACTAGAAAGACAGCCAACAACCTGGGAAAAGATCTTTACCAGCAACATATCAGACAAAGGCCTAATATCTGATATATACAAGGAGCTCCAGAATCAAACCCCTCCCAAGCCTAATAAGCCAATCACTAAATGGTAAAGTAGCTAAGGAGAGACTTCCCAGAAGAGGTGAGAATGGCAAAGAAACACATGAGGAAATGCTCATCGTCCCTGGCCATAAGGGAAATGCAATCCAAAACAACTCTGAGATTCCATCTCACCCCAGCTGGATCGGTCAGCATTGTGAATTCAAGCAACAAATGCCGGTGGGGATGTGGGGGAAAGGAACCCTACGGCACTGTTGGTAACGTAACCTAGCACAACCACTTTGGACAAGGGGCTGGAGGTTCCCCAAAAACGAAACATAGACCTTCCCTACAACCCAGCCATAGTACTCCTGGGCATCTACCTTGACCATCAGTAGTCAGGAGATAACAAGGACACCTGCACCTCCATGTTCACTGCTGCACTATTCACAATAGCCAGGATACAGAAACACCCCAGATGCCCCACAATAGATGAGTGGATCCAAAAATGTAGTACCTATACTCAGAATTTTACACAGCCATTAGATAGATAACATAATGCCATTTGCAGGAAAATGGATAGAACTAGAACAAATCATGTTAAGTGAGGTAAGCCAAGCGCAGAGACACAAACAGCACACGTTCTTTGTGGCATGTGGAAGTTATATCTAAAATGCACTGGGATATGACAAATTATTCAGGATTCTAGATGCTCACACATAGTGAGACCAACAGAGGATGCTCTCAGGAGAGACACACAGGCACCAAGCTAAGTTTCTCCTCACATTTACAAAATATAATATGCATACAAACTCCAAGATATGGAAACAAGCCTTCTTGATTTTTTCTTTTTCCCTTTCTTTTTCTTCTAGTTTTTTAGTTTCTAGTTTCTGTCTTCTTTACCATGTATCTGGTGCATTCAAGTGTACATCTTCAGGGGAGGGTACAGAATTCGAGGGAAAAGGGTGAAAGCTTGCAGCAGTGGAGCTCACTGGACATGGATGAAGGTGACCTACATATACAACTTGTGGGTGGAGATGGGCGGGAGGGACGGGGGGGTGGAGAGTGAGGGAGGAGGAGACAGTTCAAAAGGAAGAACCCGCAACCCTCCGTGTATCACTCTATAATGACAATAAATTGGTAAGAAACGTACATCAACACACATCATGTTTCATGTTGACATATGTTTCTCCTCACACATCTTCTAAGAACAGCTTAGCTTGGAAGCAGAATCAAGGGCCCTGGGCTACGTGTGAGTGGTGGCCGAGTCTGGTGTCTACAATGGCCCAGCCTCCGCAGATACGAGAAATTCCCCTCTGCGCTGACGAACCCCGCCCAGGGACGCACCTCGCCACTGATGAACCCCACTTCCGCGAACTTCCTCAGCAGGTCCTGGGAAACGTGCTTCTGTTGACTGGTGGAAGCCGGGCCCAGGACGTCATGCGCCGAGCCTTCAGTACCTTTCCTCTTCCGTGCTGCGGGAGCAGCAATCGAGAAGATTGGCCTCTGTCTCTCCCTTTCGGCGGTACCGGGGTTTGAACTCAGGTCCTTGCACTTGTTAGGCAGGAGCCCTAACATTAAGCTACTCCATCAGCCCTCTGTGCATTGGCTAAAGATTTTTCTCGTTTTAAGTCTGAGCCCGCCTAGACCAGGATGCAGCCAGCGTGACAGTGCTGAGCGGCCACTCCCAACCACTGGTGGAGAGGGAAACTGGGGAACATCTGGCCCTGATGGGCCTTTTATGAGCTCTCCCTCTCTCCATGCCTCAAATAACTGCAATTACAGGCTTGAGCCTCTGCATACGACCTCAGGCCACAAAAACACAAGAATTCCTGGCCTGCTTTGTTGCCTCTGCCCGGCATGGTGCCAGGTGAACCCAGACAGACAGCATGGGGCTCTCTGAGGTGATCATGGTGTCCTAGCAGGCTGGCAGCTCAGGTCGGAGCAGCGCCAGTGGGTGGCGATGGTGCGGAACGCTGCTGCTGTCATGGTCACCGTCACCTGCTTTCTAGGGCCACCTACCAGTGCTGCGGAGGTTCAGCATCCGGGAGATGGGCCCAAGGTCCCAGAGATCCCCTCCCCCACAGGGCTTAATGCCCCTCCGACAAAGTGCCCCAGGATCCGCACAGAACCGCCGCCCCTCCCCGGGCGGCATCTTCCCAGGTGAACACAGGTGGGCACTCTGAACATGGTATCGGCGTGTGATCCTGCTTTCTACTAGAGGGGGCGCTGAAGCCCCGTGCAAGGCCAGAGGCCCTGTGGCTACTGCCTGCCTGCCTCTGGAGGCCGCAGGCACGGAGGCATTACAGCCTCTGCTGGTGCCTTGTGGAGTCAGACCTCCAGGGGACCAGGGGGACCCCAGGCCCAGCCTGCCCTGCTCCTCCCTGAGGGTCGGGGGGACCCCAGGTCCAGCCTGCCCTGCTCCTCCCTGGGAGTCTGGGGGACCCCAGGACCAGCCTGCCCTGCTCCTCCCTGAGGGTCGGGGGGACCCCAGGCCCAGCCTGCCCTGCTCCTCCCTGAGGGTCGGGGGGACCCCAGGCCCAGCCTGCCCTGCTCCTCCCTGGGGACCAGGGGGACCCCAGGCCCAGCCTGCCCTGCTCCCTGAGGGTCGGGGGGACCCCAGGCCCAGCCTGCCCTGCTCCTCCCTGAGGGTCGGGGGGACCCCAGGCCCAGCCTGCCCTGCTCCTCCCTGGGGACCAGGGGGACCCCAGGCCCAGCCTGCCCTGCTCCTCCCTGAGGGTCGGGGGGACCCCAGGCCCAGCCTGCCCTGCTCCTCCCTGGGGGTCGGGGGGACCCCAGGCCCAGCCTGCCCTGCTCCTCCCTGGGCCCAGGGTGGGTGTCCAACCTCGCCTCATTCTCAATGGTTTCCAGGCTTTGATGTTGTCATAGAGGAGGCAGAAGCGGCAGGCGGCCCGGCAAACATCCCACACGCCCTGCTTCCGAGCAACCTTGGCCAACTCCGTCCAAATCTGAATCCTGGCCACCAAGGTCCCAGCAGGAAGAGAGCAGGCAGAGGGGAAGTCAGAAAGCATTTACAAGGACAGCATAGTTGCTGAAGGTTCCCAAGAGTGACCTCCAGACACAGTGCTCTCTTGGCTGTGGTGGGACAGCCTGGTG